ACGATTTGGCTGCCAAAGATCCAAATGATTTGGCACACATTTGCGCACAGCAGTAAAGTGACAAATATTGTCCACATAAAAAACGCGTTTTTCATAGGTTGAAGCACATACTTGCTTGATAGAAAAAGTGCAGAACATATTGGTCAAAGTCGAATGTCTCAGCCAAACCCTAATTGATTTTCAAAATGTATAGCTAATTAAAAACAGAACTCCTTACGGCTTCTTTCTTATATATGTACATTAAAGTGGCCCTTATTTTTGAAAATCGGAATTTTGCGGGTGCTACCCCTTGAAATGGTTACCTTTATTGAAAAAGTAATTCCCTAAAAATTTTGGCTCAATTAATCAAGTCTAACCCGTGCCACAAACGGGTTGAAGTTGAAATAACGACAGTATCACTTTGCGTCAGTGCTGCCTTTGGCTAGCCACCTTATTAGCGGCCTTTGCACGGTTACTATTGTATAAAACATAGCATGATGCAAAATAAAATTATTTCTGTTCACCCCATCATTCATAAATAAATGGACAAGTAATTTTTAAGCAAAAAACAAAACCGACTTAAATTCTCATATACAAATTTAAGATTATCATTAATTTCTTCATGATCCAATGATCGGATTTTAACCAAATTAGTATGGGACCACCTGTGGGGTAACACCTTTCCTTTAAAAAAAGAAATCGGTTAACGTGCTCCAAAGTTACGCGGTAAAATACGTAAAAAAAAAATATTTCGACGAATTGATAATTGATAGCCTTCGCCTTTTTGTGAAGTCGGTTAAAAATAAGTTTGATTTTGTTTCTTTAAAATGTTTATGTATATTTAGGACTTTTTATATGTACGAGTAAGTAGATAATAACGCACAGAACCACGATACATGGTCCATTATTCCAACACCTTTGTGACATGGGTTAATCTGGGTCAATTGAGTCTATATTAAATGATAAATGTTTTCTCCTTATATATGTATAACAATTTTAGGGGGTAGCACCTCAAAAAACTAAAAAACAAAAATTGTAAATATACCTTTCATTTCATTTCATTTTAAGCTAGAAAACGCGGTTTTGTACATTTATCAGTTTTGAATGACTATTTTTCAATAAATTTTAAAGATTGAACATGTTGTGAGAAGAGGATTTATAGGCCTTTAAAATGATGTATAATAATCTGCTGTCATTCTTGGATTGTCGGGATTTTCATTGAGCAAATAAAAAAAATTTATTTTTCCTATTTTTTAAGTTTTGACGATTCCTTATTTATACAATTACAAAATATGTAGTACAATTAAACTGATAAATCTATAAAACCATATTTTCTGACCTAAAATGACAAGTCGCGAACTTTAAATGATTTTTAAAAAACCTATAAAAATAGGCAATAATATTTATCATAAAAAGTAAGGAAATTAGGGGTTAGGGCCTTGAAATAAAAAAATAAATACAAATTCGATGGGCACCCTATGTATGTATACTAGTAAACAAAATAGTCGGACAAGTCGTAATTCAAAATGAAAAAATGTTAAAAATTAGACGTTTGCATATACTCTGTAAGATTCCTTTAAGTGATCGGACGTATAACCCATTGTTGTAGATCTGCGACACAAGGTCTGAAATCTACCACATATTCGCGTTTTTGAGTAGTTTTATTTTGGCTCGACAAAATTTTCTTAATTTTAAGAGCAAAAATTGTCCAACACTAAACACTAACAACAGGCAGAATGGGAGGATATAATAAACTGTAAAATAGTAAATTTTCTCAATATTCAATTTTTCGACATCAAACGTGGTTTTATTGTGTTAAATTGCAAAATATATGATTTATAAAAAGAATTAATAGCGAAAATGATAAAAACCGGCAATTTTTGTGAAAGGATTAGCAAATTTCAGTGCATCTCAAATTTCTAAAGCGTTGTTTACTTTTGCTTGAGAATTGTCAGAATCGGCAAATCCCAAGCAGCATTTCTGGAACGAGCCAAATTTGTTTGCTACATCGTGATGTGATAAAAAGAAAAGCTGGCAGCACTCCGCAAGGTTGCGGAAATCTTTCAAAATATGTTCGAAGCTGTCAAGGAAAAAATTGCAAAACTCGCAATTTTTATCAACTTCAATCTTGCGCTTTATTATACTAAAATTAATTTTGTTTTAGATTCTAATTAAAATGTTTGCAATTTAGGTGAAACCTTGCAGTTTTTTTTTAATTTTTGTACAAAGTTTGATCCAAACCTGAGATCTTCTACATTTTTTTGAAATCTACCACATTGATCATTGATTCCTTTGCCATTTCTTAACATAAATTATCAATTGAAACATTGTTGTAAGCAGCGAAATCTCTTATCTTGAATCATATGCATATATACGTATTTTTCACCGGGTAAACAGAAATAAAGTTACGAGCAAGTATACCTGTGCGTCACGCTTTGAAAAACGCGGGTTTTGACCTTAAGCCCAGATTTTGAGTGTGTATTTAAAATTCTGAGTATGTCGATTTTACTGCTTGAATAGACCTACAACAAGTGTTAACCTCGAAAAAACTATATACATTTTTTTTTGTCACACAGTGTAATTTAGATCGTCTTTAATAATCTATATATCGTAATTTAAAGTACAAAACCGCGTATCAACAAAATGCAAAGCCGCCTATGTGAGGTTGTATAAATTATTATCTAGATAGTAAAAACACTCATATTTCAAAATGGTTCTCTTTTTTATAAAGCAATCGCATTTCTGGATAGTATATTTCAGGACGAATGGATAAGGATTGAGTCAACGGCTTCTGTAAGCAAATCCAATTTTTGGCAGCAAATGTCAGTTACGCGATTTTGCAGAATGACGATACGTGGTTTTGTACTTTATACGACGATATGCATGTATGTCAAGAATGATAGAATACAAGATTGCGCCAATGAGAGAGGATTTTTGAGCGTAATTTTTGCGTGACGTCATCTTGGTGCAATTGCGAGAGAGAAATGCCAAAACGCATATAAAAATATGTAAACAATGCAGAAAAATGTGTTGATTTTAATATTACATGGCCCCATTTTGCAGGAATCAATAAATATACAAAGATTGATTAATTAGGAACACGTAGCAATAATTTTGGACATGTAGCCCTTTAGATAAGTACGATTTTTAGCACATGAAAAAATTGATGTATTAACAGTGTTTGCAATTTCATGTAGACCAAAAGGAAGGTGTGCAGCAAAGTGAATTTTTCGACTTGCCATTTTAAAAAGCCATGCAGAGTGCATATTTATATTTGTGGACGGTAGCCAATCACCATAAACTCCACAGCTGTTGCCTCCACAGCTTTTATTTGATGACTTTTGTACCATTTCCGAGAGGATGCATGAGTGTGGCTTTTTTGGAAGCAAATATTCTATGTCAGTAAAACATAATTTAAGCTGAGCTTTTAAATGTAAAATAATTTGGGCACTGTTTTGTATTAGGTACGTAACAGCGCGGTAAGATGCCGCTTGAATTAGCGCCTGGCGACCTTATCCACTGGTGCATTACCTCATACCAGCACTAAAAGAATCAGGTACTAACAAAAATAAGTAGGTAGTGAAGTTCATGTATCTATTTACTGTAGAAACTGCTTTTGTATGTATGCCATTGCCAGCAAACTAAACCAGCAACTGTCTACATTCACCATGGAAATATACCTACTACAATTCACCAAGGAAAGGCCAACATAGTTCCAGAAGCTCATAGCTCACACACATAGCACAAAGCTCGATTTGGTGTTTAATGCATGTCCTCCCCGACAGAACTGCTTCCACTTTTTCGCCAGGTTTGCGTCCGTAGGAAACGAAAAAAAAACTTATATAGCACGCTTTCCTTTTGTTTTCACTATTACACTTTGCCACTGCACACCTCATTTTGCTTTTTAATGTCTCAATAATTGTTTAAAACCACCCAGAAATATTAACGCACAAATATGAAAATTGTTATTTGGTTTTTTTCGTATGCTCACATTCAACAATTGCACCAAGATGACGTCACGCACACAGCTCATTCTGTCAAAATCACAAAGAGCGGATTAGCGGTACCGCGATTGGCGCAATCTCTATTTCTCTCGATCGTGCATGTATGTATATGTGTATAGCCAGCAAAAAACGCGGAAAGAGATCCGAAAACTGAAAGAAAGGTTTATAGAAAAGTGCCACGAAGGGTTGTGAAACGAATACTTTTCTTCACATATGCTTTTTCAACTTCACATATGCTTTTTCATAGTTAATTATACTCAGAAATTAATTATACTTTTATAAATAGTTCTTAATATGTTCGTCTGCCGGCATAAGAACCTGAGACCTCATGAAAAACGCACGTTTCTCTGCACACTTAGCTACTGTCGAATAGGTATATGTATGTACATGTTTTCAAATGTTAATTTTGAACAAATATTTTAAAATTATTGTTTTCAAATAACGTGATATTTTTCGGTACCCTGCGCGCGTTGCTATGCCACCAACTAAAATAAATATGAAGGAAAGACATTACACAAATATTCAATTCATTTTGAGTCCTTTTATTGTTTTTGTTCATTTTGAAAAAATTGTGACATTGCAGTATTTCGTTTCAATTCGATATTTATTGAAGTGCTATGGGATACACAATATTTCTTCATTTTCCATCTGGTGCGTAAACGAATAAATCGGAAGGTTTTCCGACGCGTGAGCAGGCCACACAGAGCTGCCCATGTGAGAAGCATGGATTCTCCAAATTTAATCCACATACTTGCAACGATTGTCCTTGTGCTTTGTTGATAGTCATTGCGAAAGCGAGTCGCACCGGGAACTGCAAACGTTTGAATTTGAATGGCATATCTGTCGGGATCAATGTGATGCGTGGCAACAGTATGTCTTCACCTTGGAATTTTCCAGTCAAAATTGTTGCTTCGATAACATTGTTCATCATTTTCTTGACTGAGAGTCTGGTTCCGTTGCAAAGTCGTGATGAACTTATGTTTCGAAGAAGAATGTTGGGTACGCCAATTTTCAATGTTAGAACGTGCGATGGCATGCCTGGCAAAGCGAATTCAAGAACTTAGTTGGATAGTTGACAACTTCGTCTTGATTCACCACAGTATCGATGGACTTATATGTTGTCGTTTCGTCGTGTATTCCATTCTGAATAGTGATGTTGATGGTATTGACATCGATGTTTTTGGCCGCTAATATAGCACACGTACTGAGCCACTGATGATTTTTGTAGTTCTGTGCAATCTTTGTGAATACCTTTTGCACCAAATCGGCTATGCTTTCTGTGATCCTACAGAAGTTTGCTGACAAGGTGATACATTGTGTAGAATCATCAATTTGCATTCGCCCATTTCCAATATCTATTAATTCTTTTGCAAAATTACCAGCTGATGTATCCCGTTGTACTTTTACACGCATGTTGGTTTTCAGAGTCACTTTCTGTATATGACGCCATAAAACTGATGATTTGAGACATGCATTAAGTTCATCAGCGGGTGTTGAACGTGGTATAACCGGCAGTGTTTGTCGAAAATCACCAGACAATAAAATGAGTACACCCCCGAAGATCTCGCAGTGTACGATCAAGCGCTTCCAATGCTTTCTTGTGAGACATTGTACATTCGTCCCATATGATAATTTGACACGCTTGGAGTACTTTGCCCATTCCAGAGTTTTTACTGATGTTGCATGTTGGTGCTTCAAAAGAGTTGCCGCAATTCCAGATGATGGCTGCCAAAATGAGTGAAAGAAGAAAAGTCTTGCCTGTACCACCAGGCTCATCTATGAAAACAGTCCACCGCTTTGTTCTGTAATTGCACGCATAATTCTGTCATACGCAATGCATTATTCTGGAACCAATTGCGGAAGATTTGTCTGAACAAATGTTTCCAGTTCGTCAGAATCAAAGTGTGTTTTTCTCGTTGCAAATCACGATCGAAAATGTCGTTCGCTGGTCGAATGTGCATCATTCTCAACAAGATTTAGCTCCTGGCAAGCTTTGCGATAAGTGGCGCACAGCTGACCGTTGACTGCTCTTAAATCTTGGAAGGATGTCGGTCCACGTACATTGATCAACAGCAATCGCAGATAGAAGCACTCTGTAATGTTCGGGTGAACAGTGTACAGACGACCCAATGCGTCACAGGAATACAAATTGGGATGTCCTTCAACTGCTTTACCTTGTTTGGGAGTTGAAACTTTTTAGCCGATGCATTCCATGTGTAGAATTTCGGTACCTCAGAATAAAGTAGAGTCTTTGCAAAAGTATCATCCTGGCACAGTGAGTAAAATGCAGTTTAAGTTGTTGCCGATTCTCGAGATGCACCGCCAAGTGTACTACTGTTGGATGTCGTCCATGGATGGAAAATGATAAGATGCGCCACACTGCTTCATTGCTGCTAATGTAGCGTCCAAGTTGGTATTGGTTGATTTCATCGAGCTGTGCGGCCACATTCCCTACTCTGAAGACTGCCATGTCGCTTCTTTGGTTGACATATTTGCAAATGTATTTGATTGACTTCACTGAATTGCAATACTCAACATTAATGCGTGCTTTGAAGGTCTTTGGGAGCAACGGTGAATATGGCACAACCCAACGATTATCGACTTCAACATCAACGTTTCGTACTTTCAGAACGATGGATATGCCGCCATCCTCAACTGATCGTCGACGATACAGTGGGTATCCGTCTTTGCCAGTAATGGTATCAGAAACCAAGTTTCTTGGGTATCGTTCCATGCATGTCTGATGGGAATTGTTATTGAATGCGCCACTTGGACCATGGATCATATTTTTGGTAACGACTTCGAATAAGTCTAGATCAATGGCCTTATATGGTATTTCTGCTGAGATGATTTGGTCAATTTGATCTGGCGTAATTTTGTTGATTAGCCAAACCAAAATATGTGCATGTGGCAATCCTCTTTTCTGCCATTCAATGGAATACATCCAGCATCGAGTCTCTCCAAAAACGTGATGCTTGTTAATAAAATCCATCAAAGCTTTAAATTTTTGTTTAAATACGCTTGCGGTAATATCATGGCGGTCCGAAGATGATTGTCCAGCTAACAGAAGTTCTTTAATTTCATCCCATTTTGGGTTGCATGTGAATGTGATGAACAAATCTGGACGGCCATATGGGCAAACGTATGTCATCGCATCTTGTGCGTATTCATGCATGTGCCGTGGACTCCCCGTGGATGTAGACGGTAATATGACCATTCTTCCCAATTCGTTTGGATTCACGTTACCATCATTAACGATTGCGTCTCGTAAATGGATGTACTCTTCAGAACGCAACTCGGTTTGATTCAATCGAATGTATAGGAGTCGTTCGGTTTCAATCTTCGCGTACATATCGACGATGTATTGATGGAACAATTGTCGACATTTCAGAATGTGGTTTTCAGCGTCTTGACGAATCATCAATCGATACGAATAATAATTCATGGCACTGACTTTCTTATTCGTTTCCTCGTCTGTTGGTGCATTTTTCATTTTGATGCTGAAAGGATATCCATCTTCTCCTCGCCAAAACAGAATCGGATACTGCAATCCGTCGTATGAGCGATGAGTTTCGGATACTCGCTGAACGTCACCATTTCTACGATGAAGAATTATGTCGTGCGATTTGAATTCTTCGCCAATTATCACGATCGCCACTTCATTGATTGTTGGTGCATTGAACTGTCTTTCGTGTTGGGCAACGGGTCTTTTGTCTGCTCGAATTACAACTGCGTAGTCATCGGCTGGCATTCGTTGAATGGCGGTTTTAAACAACTGAACTAATTCATTGTGTTGTTCATCACTGTTGGCCATGAAATAAATTTGAAGAAACATGTGATCTGCGTCCGGCAATGGTAGAAGCGATCCGACACGATGATAAATTTGCCCTTAGACTCTGAATGTTGGCATGTAATTTTCGCGCACGATGTTCGTTGCACCGAACGATGTCATTTGAAAACATGAATTGTATTTGCGGATGTTTTCCAACAAATGCTTTGACTCACGTGTAGCACCTGATAGCAACGTTGATAGTGGTTCGGACGGTGGAGGTAATTCTGGCAGTTTAACTCTTCCACTGGCGCAGCACATTCGTGGCGTTTCGCTCTTAAATTTGAGGGCGCTACAATACATGCAAATTTTATCCATTTTTCCAATGTTGACACTTGGATGAAGACTGTAATTATTATTACTGTCAAAATGGAATGCCCCAAGATTTAAATCAGGGTGCAGTGTTCGTCTTGATCGAGCGGTGCTTATTCGAACATTTTGCAGCCTTCTTTCCCGATGTTCAGTTGTCTCAGACGAACGGGCCTGAGTAGTACGTATTCGATCAGTTTCTAACCTCACTTCTTGTTGTTCAGATGATTCAGACGAACGGGTCTCAGCGGCATGTACTCGAAGATTTTCTAGCCTTAATGCTCGTTGTTCGTCTGATTCTGAGGCTCGTAATGCTCTTTTCTTCCGTGCTTGAGGTGTAGATCGGCCAATTGCTTGTCGCTTTGGAGGCATAATTGTACGGGAACGACGTGAAAAATGCGTTTGAATTTATAAGATGTCAATCAGCAAAACTTTATTGCACAAATAAATTGCCACAATATTGAACAAATTTGAATTGTATTTTAACCACAGCCTTTATAGTAATTTTAACAGTTATTATATTTTGCTGTACTTAGCACTGCAGAGTGCACATGCTTACTGCGGAACTGATTAAATTTTTAATATTCTTAAAATAGGCCCAAAATACATTGCATATTCCGATCTCAGTAAATAAACCCTAACTAACATACCTACCTAGGAAACATTTAACCTTAGCCTTAACCAACATCTATCTTTATATACATGAATAGATACGCTCTAACGATCTACTTATGTACCTGCGTGTTTAATAAAATGCATTATACTGGAGAACCCTGTTTACCTACTTTCTTACGCAAAAAGTTTAAAAGAGCCCAAACCCTGTAGGGAAAACACGAACTAGTGAACCAGATTTCTAGTTCAGTACTAATTCTTTTCAGCCAAAAACGAACCAGTCCAGTAATAACTAGTTCCGCACCAGTCCAAAAGCAGTGAAATGTGGTACTTCCACTAAACTATTTTATTTTAAATTTTAAAAGCAGGGAAGATAATCATTATGAGTAAAATAATTTAAATCAGCATTTAATCATTATTTTATGAATAATTATTTTATTTTTTCGCTCAAACGGAAATAATTATTATTTGATTTTTATTTTTGGGATTACAAATAATGATTATTTTATGATTTTTATTTTTTCGCGCAGATATTATCACTAATTTTGAGTTTTATTTTTCCACTTAAAAATAACGATAATTTATAAAATTGAAAGGCCATACAGATGCAACCTACTGAAATTTTGACCTGAAAAGTTTGGGTCTTATTCCTTTTATAAGGGTGCGGCTACTTCTCAAAAGGATACGTCGGTAATCACGCTGGTATAGTTTTTGAGTTGCTTAATAATCATTATACTTAGTGATTCCATAAACAAAGGCCAAGATCCTTAAGGACAATTGAGAAAGGCAATGCAGTTGCAGAAAAAGAGGCATTTAAAAAAAAAAGTGTCAAAATAATTACCACTTTCTCACTAAATTTATTTAAAAATGCAAGCCACCAGAGCTACCTTTTTTTTTTAAGAAAAAGACAAATTAATTTTTTTTTATGCAATCCAGCATAGCTACCTTAATACAGTCAGTCAATAAAGTTTCAGTACAACGATTTTTTTACAATACAGGCAACTATTTTTTAAATATTTTAGTTTTCGGTAATTTTTTATAAAAATGTGGTCAACTCTACAACAAAATCCCCAAAAATCAGAGTTCCAAACCTTGTGCATAATTTCATTAAAATAATTCACTTTCTCGCAATGTTAAATTCGCCAGTCGCTAGCATGCAAAAGAAAATTAACGCGTAGTAGTCATGGTTCCAAACGCACTAGAACCGAACCAGTTCCGCACTATTTCGTTTCACTACAGGGAATACATACATATGTATGTGTTAGAGCTATGTACCTGCGTCCTTAAGAAAATGCATTATGCTGGAAAACAATTGATACTTTCTTGCAAAAGTGATTAGGGCTACAAATTTTTCTGTGGAAAAAATTTTAAAGAGTCCAATATTTCTTGCTTCCGAAATTTGTTTTACATACTAAACATCATTCCAGGAATTATTACAATTTTTTTGAATGTTGAAGTTTCTGGCTCTCTGTGAAAAATGTAGGTCGCTATACACTGTAGTAGTTGATTTATCTATTTTCACTTCAGTTTATACAACGTATTTATATACGTGCCCCTAGATAAATGTTTTGAATTTGAATCAAATCGGCCTGGAAATTCGGATTTTAGAAATATATCGACTCCAGCGCCACCTATCGAGCCTATTTTCACACAATATATATATATGTTTAGGTGTTTGATAAATGTTTCGAATTTTAATCAAATCGGTATGTAAATACGGATTTTAGAAATATCTCGACTGCAGTGCCACCTATCGACATTAGTTTTGTTCTATAATCTTTATGCTGTAAAGGTCAAGGAGTTACCCAAAATTAACCAACCAAGGCAGGACCATATACTAAAGCTCTGCATTACATCAGAGTAGCACAAAACTTCTTCAACGGCTTACTTCATGGAGTATCTTCCTCTCGGCAACACAACCCAATAAACATCATACAGGGAATACGATCGTTAAAACTCGAGCAATGATCGGGTAACAATAAGCTGGTGTAAAGTCACGAGTTTGGCCGCTACGCCATTACAGAGGAGCATTTTGTAAGTATGTATTCCAATATGGCACAAATGGACAACATGGACCAAAGATTTTTGCAGAATAGCCAATAAGCTGAAAAAGTTTGCGTGTTGTGATGGCTCGCTTATGGCTGAAATTCCCAGATTCTCACAAATCTAAAAAAAACAGAAGAAAAGCAGCGGCATCAATACAAAAGTACAATCTTTCTCCTCTGGTGGTACCAATAGAACACAGGGCATCCTCTATAGCATTAGCATTAGAACAGTAATGGTAAAGCGTTACTATTTTCCTCTAGTCTCTGCGTGTGCGATAACGATTCATAAGTCCAAGCAAGTCATTGGTAAGATCGTATGCGCTCAACAGCTCCTGTACGTCGCATTATCGTGAGTAACATCGATTCAAGGGCTACATCATACTTTTTAATCGCTCATCCTTCTATTGCTGTTTTTTAGTCGTTGGAGTTTGCGTTTATAAAATTTACATAAGAAAGTGGTACTATAATGGATAAAAAGTAAGTCAATTGAACCGGAAGTTGTAAATTGTGAAATATACATATGTGTGTATATGTCTGAATTACAGATCAAAAATTGTAAGCAACTTGCGCGGTTGGTCGTGCTGATGCAGGAGAGTGAGACATAGGCAAAGGAATTTCCGGAAAGAGTAGGGGAGGAAGCTCCGCTTATATGGTGAAAGATATAGAATATTTCTTGTGCATATAACTCCGGCTACGCCATCCACACTGTTTTTGCGCAGAACCAAAATCAAAGTTTACAAAAAACTGCTTAATTTATTAACTGACTAGTGCTCGGAAATTTGGAATCTTTATTTTAAATTAAAGTTTAATTCTTTTACTACACTTGTATGTTAAAGTTTTTAAACTCTAGTTACGCGTTTAGACACAAATACTCAACATCATTGTAGAAATAACTAAACCGTACCGTATTTCTTGAACTTCCATAAAGTGTATTAATGAGGAAAACAGCTTTTCCTGCAAATCCTGTGAAACCTAAAAACCGTGAAGCATCGGGAATGCAACTTCTATTTATAAAATTCACATACGTACATACACTTCATCTTCCAACTCCAAGGGATCCGACGAATCTCGCAATTCCCTCCTTGCTTTAGCCAACACTAATAACACTGGTCGACGGCCAAAATTTACCAGAGACGCCGTTATGAAATTCGTATGTAAAATCACCCCCTGATTCCGAAAATCAAGGTTATTTTTAATTTTATGGTACCGTTTTTGAGATATTTGCAATTTACCGTTTTTGCAAAAAAAAAAAAATTGGATCCACTTAATCATATATATCTCAAGAACGAATTAAGCAATTCCAAAACGGTTTGA